ATAAGGTGAAGTGGGTGTGGAGGACATGTCCTCTTGCTCTCCCCCTCGCTCCCTGAGGTTACTGGAATAAACCCCATCTCTCTCGCGTCCTTTAATTTCCGTTCAATTCTGCACATCTCCTGCATTTTTGCTCGGTTTTCTGCCGACTCTGGATTATTTTCCCCCTTATTCCCTTTTCTTCAGCTCCCCTTCCACCCCAATGATGCTTTCAGGCTTTCCTCTTCTCCCCCAACCCCTGCTTCCTGTTACCATCCCCTTCCCCTGCAGTTCAACCCAGTGGTGTGTGCTTGGAGGCGGGCGGTAAGAGGGAGAGTGGGCCTTTACCTCTAGGACCTGGTGGCTCCATTTCCTTCTCCGGGCTGACTGCAGGTGGACTTAGTCCCTGTCACACCCAGGGGGACACAGGACCTCTCATTAGGAACCCCCCCGCATCCTGCATCCCCCGCCTGGTCCAGCACTACCTGCACCCACACTCTGCCACGCTCATCCCTTCGTAGTGGTACTTGAGGGTGGGGACGCCCATGTCATCCTTGTAGAGGATGGAGATGGGGCTCAGTTTGGTGGGCACACAGCAGGCCTTGCCCACCTTCATGGGGAACTTGAGATGCACCAGGGTCTGCACGATGGCGTGTTTCGTTGGGGTCACATCATCAGCCAAGGGGAAGAAACAGCCGCCTTTACATTCGTAGGCATCGTACTCCTTGGGCGCGATGATCCAGCTGTCCCAGCCGATGTCCTCGAAGTTCACCCGCAGCGAGGTCTTCTGACAGTGGTTGTTGGCCCCGGCACTCCTCTTCCGTCTGGCTAAAGACAATCCCGCGGCCACGTGGCCTTCCACACCCTCCTTCTCCTCGTCCCTGTTCCCACCTGCCTCCACCGGGCCGTTCCTGGACAGCTTCTTGAGCACACTCTCCTGTTCGTGGCTGATCATCTCTCTGAGCTCCAGCCTGGTCTCCCTGGTCCCATTGCTGCGGTCATTGGAGAAGACGACGAAGAAAGGCAAGTTTTTGGAGCCTGGGGGGACACTGATATCCAGCTTGTCACAACCCTTTCTGTGACTCTCCACGGTCACCTCCAGTTTATTTTTGCTCTTGGTGGAGTCTGCCCTGACCCACCGCTTCACGGCACTGGACACCTCCAAGGTCTCCCAGCCCTCGTCCTGGATGTCCTGAGACACCAGGAAGGTCTTGGTTCCCTCCAAAGCATCCCAGGCGTTGGCTCCATCCAGAACATCGTAAATGACCATGTTCCCTTTCAGCTCGTGAGAGGAGCCCACATGACTTTGACAGGAGAGGTAGAGTCGGAGCTCGGCCCTGGTGATCTGCTCGTGCCTGGGAATGGAGATGTTAAAGAGCAAGATGTGTTTCTGGAAAGGGAAGTCTCCTGTGGCGGCTACAGAGACGGCATCTGAAATGCAAATACATGGTGACAGTCACCTCTGCTGGGAGGGTCTGTTTTCATGACACCAAAGCTGAGACTCATGGCTTGGATGGAAGGGCATCCAGGATGACGTTATCTGGTGCCACTTAAGCCCTTAATGTAGAACAGGATTGTAAATGGTACATTTGGCATTTTCCAAAGAAAAATAGAAGCAGGCGATGCCCTGCACTGGAGTGGACAGGTCCAGCTGTTGACAGGGCATCACTCTGCTGCCAGCATTACACTAGGAGCTCTGCGTCCTTTATTTCACTGTTGTCTTCACACTGATCCTGGGAGAATCTCGTTATTATTCTACTTTTACAGATGTGGAAACTGGGATTTAGGGTGTTTAACTGCCAAACTGCACATATCCTGTAAAGATCCTCACTTTAAAAAAAAAAAAAAGAAAGAAAAGAACCAAATAAACAAAACAGCAAAGCATAGTGTTAGCCTCAGGTTGTGGATCCTGAGTGTATGATTTTAAAAGAGAGATCCCAGCAGGGGAAATTCCAACATTACGACAATGTTAAAAGTCTTAGCATCGAAAAGATGTAAAGACCATTCAGAATAGTAACTTTGGAGCAAAACCAAAGTGGGTCATTTTTTTTTGTTTTAGGAAAGAAGTATCTTAACATCAACGGCAGGTCCCATTAGGCATAAATGGAGCTTGCCTTTTCGCCCCACGGCTCTCAATTTTCCGCTCTCTGGCTGATACACAGCCATTAGCACATCTCTATTATCCGTGGCTCAGTCACAAAAAGGGAAGAGGAGTTGTATTTTGTGAGCACCTACTACGTGCCAACCTGAGGGCAGACTGTGTGCTGCCATGAAACCGGGCTGTGTCTGACAGACTGAGGTACCAGTCCTGACTCTTCCCCTCCAGGCGTGTGACCTTGGAGAAGTCCTGAGTCTCTCTGGGCCTCAGTTTCCTCATCTGTAGAATGGGGGCTCATCCTCCCCACCTCCCAGGGTTGGTGTAAGGCTTCGACAAGATGGCACATGGAACTTAACCCAACACTGTCCATGACTCATTGCAGATGCTCAGTCAATATTTCCGGGTCCTCCCCAGACCATCTTCCGTACCTGTGCACGCCCCACCACCCCAAGCCCGTGGCTTTCACACAGCCCTCTGTGTCCCCTCACCCAGTGTGGGTGTGCCATTCTAGCTCTTGCAGAGCCACCATGGCCTATGTGAGTAGCCAGCGGGGTCTATGATCGGTACATTGTGTCTGGGACGTGTCAGTCCTGGGGGAAGGGGTCACTTAGATGTCTCCACACGCTGGACTCCCAGACTATGGGATTTGGTGATTAGGTCCAGCCAAAAAAACCAGGCTTTCCCCCAAAGCAGAGGCTACAGACATGCCCCGTGGGCACAGTTGAGAGGCTGGCAGTATCTGTGGGACCTGCAAACTGCATTTTTAAAAAAATGGTCGATGTTTTAAAATTCAGGCAAGTCCATGTAAAATCCATATTTTTCTTATTTTGGGCCATCAGAAAATACAGCCTCGCTTGGCACGCAGCATGACCGCAGCCTCCTTTAGATGGGGCGTCCACCTGTTAGGAGTCTGCTGGTCTTGAGCCCAAGAGGGAAGAGGCCCTGTGTGCCTGGCTGGTTAGAGAAAGGCTGCAGCTGCAGGAAAAGTCTGAGCGTGGTAGGCAGGTGGGTCTGGGTCAGAATCCAGCAGCTTAGCTAATATGTGAACTGGACAAGTCCCCTCAGCGTGAATGAGCCTTGGCTTCCCTGCTCACAAGGCTGTTTCACCTCCATTGTGTGAATTAGTGGATGTACGTCCTATGTTGACGCCTGTTATCATCCAGTCCTCCTAAATCAGGGAAATTATTTTATATTTAGGAAATAATTAAGTTGCCCATCCACGTTTCTATCTTGGAGGAATTTCTCAGAATTTGAAACACCTTTTGCTGAGGGTGAAATAGACATTCTTTCAGTGTTTAAAAAAATGCCAGTTGGTTGGAGGCTAAATAAACTGTCTGTGTCTAAGTAGGAAGGGGTCAGCACAGGAATGGGGAAGTGGGGCAGGGATGGACGAAGGGGAGCTGGCACTCCCACAGCCAGTACCTAAGGCATTAAACTTGGCATTGGGCCTAGGGAGGGAGAATCTTCTAGGGCAGAGCTGTCCAGAAGAACTGTCTGCAAAGATCGAAGTGTTCTACAATCTCCGCTGTCCTATAGGGTCCCCGTTAGCCATACATGACTGCTGAGCACTTGCATCCAAGCTAGTGAAACTAAAAAACTAAGCTATTGATTTCATTTCATTGAAATTAATTTAAATAGAAACTTAAGGAGCCCCACGGGTCCAGCGGCCGCCATACCGGGCAAGACGCAGCGGTGGCCCACTGAGTCCCGCATCCCCACCCAGGGCGCCCCGACGGAGCCAACTCTACCTTCCACGCTGAAGCTGCGCACGATGTTGGAGGCGGGGGTGGACGACTTGTCCGTGGTGTATCTGTTGTACAGGTCGATCATGTACTGCGGCGGCTCGGCTCGGGTTCTGTCCTGGGAAGGGACCCCGCTCAAGTTGAGGCTGCGCAGGAAATCCACCTTCATGTTCTCCAGGAACATCCTCAGGTCGAAGGTGCCCCCATCCTGCTCATCTCCGGGCCCCTCTAGCAGGCGGTGCGCATCTCCCCCGACCGACGCCCGCCCCTGGCTCTCCAGCGGCTTCCCCTGCGCGGAGCAGGCCAGCAGGGAGAGCACGGGCAGGGCCGCCCAGAGCGCCCCGCGGCACATCTTGGGATGCTCTTGCCCTGCACGGGAGACTGCGTGCGGCAGCCGCGGTGGGTTAGCGGGTTCGGGGAGGAGCCCGGAAGGAGCCAGCCCGCATTGTCCTGCCCACGCTCTGCACCGAGCACCCCCGCCAGTTCACAGGCTCTCACCCGCCGTCCCCGAATTGCCCCCCACTTGTTCTTATCTGGCCCTCGATGCTGCGCTCGGCCTCTTATCTAAGGGAACTCTCCCTTAATGAAGGCTCTATAAACATCTCACGAGCACACAGGGCTTGTGGGAAGGACACGGCCTGCTGCAAAGAATCTGAATTTCTCCATGGGGTTATCGCCCTCTCATTAGGATCCTTTCTCATTTCCTTGCCAGCTCTGTTCAGAAGCATCTCCAGACAGGGTGACATATGCTTCCTCTCCTGGGCCACGGAAACAAAGAATCCAGGAAGCCAACAAGACCAAAAAGTCCTCCAAATATAGAAACAACAGCAGGAAACTCCCAGAAGACTTCAGCTAACTGGAACCTGGGGTGGGTGGCGGGGTGGGGACCTTACTTGTCAGTGTTAATAAGAGACCTGCTTCCCGGGGAACCAGAATGTGCATTTGTGGCTAAGCGTTCTGTGCCTTGGTTTCTCATTTGTCAAGCAAGTTCCGGAGCCTTAGAGATCATGTGTGAACGTGGTGCATGGAATTTAGTGAGATGATGAAGACTCTGCAGGCAGGCCAAATATGGGTTCAAGTCCCAGCTCCCTCAGTGATTCAACCTGGAGCAAGTCACTTCGCCTCTCTGAGCCTCTGGTTCAGAAGAGAGTTTGAAGGATTTAAGGGGATTATGTGCTGAACGTCACAGAGGTCACCGTGAGACTCAGTCAGTTGGGTGGCTGCATTATGGCTGCCACTTCTCCACCCGGGGTGTGACTGAGCTGGGAGCTGGGGAGGAAGCCCTGCCCCTCCCTGACCTGCTGTGTGAAAACACCACTTACACACTGAGGCCTGCTGGCTCGGGGACCCCAGGAGAGCTCTGTCACTGGTCGGGGGGGGTGGGGTGGGGGGCAGTCTTTGGTCATGTCAGCCTGGGCCACGCTTGTCATCTGGGAGACAAAGTTGGGGTGGGGGGGTGCAGCTCTGAGGCCATTACATGCCCAGAAGATGTTCCCCCTGCCTGAGGGCCCAGACAGGGCCTGGGAGGACCCAGGATCTGTTATTTTAAAGGCAGCATGCCCGCACTTAGACCCTGTCCATTTCCATTGCATGTGGGTTCGACCACAGCAAAGAATGAGCATAAGAATATTCTAGGGATCTACTCTAAAGAGGGTTTGAACACGGAGTTTTTCCAAGCTGGTGGGGCCCTTAGGAGGGGTTGCAATAAGCTGAGCAGGTTCAGGAGGATGGACGAGGGGCCGGGGCAGGTAGATGCAGAGATCCCGGTGTGCACCCAGCTCTATTCTACTCCTTGTGGTGGTGGTGGTAGGGGGTGTGAAACCAGGAATCTCCAGGGGCCAGGCTTGGACAGAACTTGCTGTCCCCATCCTTTGGGGACAACTGCCAGGGAGGATGGACGGGAAGGGTGCAGCTTCAGAAGCGCTGCCTGCAGAGGGGGCAGGAAGTTTGCCGGGCTTTGAGCCATCTCTGAGCATGAACTCCCTGAGGCAGGGAGGAGAATGGGTGCACAGGGCAGGCAGTGAAGCTTCAACTTCACAGCAGCAGGGAGCGGGCTGGGAGGAGCTGGGGGGCAGAGCAGGCATCCCTCTCAGTGCTCCGGTCCCTGGAGGCCACCCAGAAACCTGTCACATTCAAGAGGTGGAGCCAAGGGTTGCCAGAGGGTGGCCTGAACGTGCTGTCTCTTGAAGCTGGAGATGCTGCTGATCTGATGTTTTCTTAAAAACAGGACAGATTTTTCCCCCTTGCTTATATCAGTAATATATAGTGCAGATAATTTGGGAAATGCAAAACATTAGAAAGGAGGAAATAAAAATAACTTGCAATCTCACCCTCCAGTGATGGGCGCAGGCAACGTTTTGAGACAGCTGCAACTCCACAATCCCCTGTTTAAAATCCTTGTGGCCAGGAGTGTTTTGCGATTCAGAAAGCTTCAGATTTGGGGAATTTGATATGGTGAGTATACTGTGGTATCCCCAGCGGGGTTGGGGCCAACACCCTATACTCATACACATTAATATTTCTGTAATGAAACAAACCAAAACACAAATACCCATTCAGATCAAGTTTTGTCTTGCAAGGGATTGAAAGAAAGTCAGGTTTTCTAATAGCTTTGGATTTGAGGACTAGGGACCTGCTTACATATGGGGTCACCACATCCTACCATGAAGGTCGCATGTGAACACCTCCTGGAGGTCCTGGTTACATAGACTGTGACAGGGAAGGCGCCCCCAGAACTGTGCAGTACAACATGCCTGGGCATTTCTGGAATTATCTGCCCACAAATTCAGAGTATCATTATGTTCACATCTCCTTTATTGTTTCTAAGTAATTGTATGAGGCCTCCTGATCTGTATAATCAGAAAGTCTGGTTTCCTCTCTCAGGGCATCTCTTTCCTGAATTGTTTAAGAGCCTGTAGGTTGATTTAGGCCAAAGGAGATGGAGGTGAGTTGGTATCAGTCCAGCTTCTTCATGCTGGAAGAGGGAAGGGGGATGGGGTAAGGGTCTTGGCAGGTCCCAACTGCTGTTGCTTCTCAATGACACCCGGTTTTGCTGTCGGGGTGGCTCCCACACATGTTACAGCTGTTGGTGCCGGCTGGTCTAGGCTTCTGCCCAGGTCCCCGTGATGTCTCCTTTTGGGCACCAAGGTAACAGCTTTCTTAAGACACACTCCCAGGCTTACCCATTTCTCCAGCAGGCACACCCCTGTGCCAGGGGGCTGGGTTGAGAGAAGAGGTCATCCACGATCACACTCTGATCCCATTCTCCCCTCTTCCAGAAATCTCTAGGTTCTTATGGGGGCTCCATCTCTGCATCTTGGCAAGATGGCTATCGCTGGCCTGCATCCAATTCATATCCATTGAGGGAGGAGCAAAAGCCCCCTTTCCAGGTGGTCCTGGTTATTCTTATGGTATCTCTTTGGTCCAGATTGGATCATCTGCCCAGGCCCCAGCCAATCACTGTGGCCATGGAAATTCAGTGCCTTGATTGGCTTAGGTGGAGGTGACGTCACTGGTAGCAAGGAATGAGAGTCAGGATGGGATGATTTCCCAGAGGGGCCTAGATTTGGTCACTGGAAGAAGATGCAGCTAAAAGATTATATAACTGTCTTCTCCCGCCATGAAAAATTTTCATGTACTTCCATTTTTATGACTGAACAATACCCAGTCATATTGACATATCTTGATGTAGTCAACATCTTCCAGCTACAGGAGAGATTATTTATTAAGATAATATTGCAAGGCATATTTTATATACATACAATTATATAAATATATATTGTTAAGAGAGTTCATCAGAAGGGGGATATCTAAATATTTGAAAATATATATTTTCAAAACTCTTGGTAAAATTTGCAAAGCCGCTTTCCAGAAATACTCTTTTAAGATTCATTCCCACTGGCAGATTCTAAGAGCACCTGTTGCACCCTTCACTTGTAGTTCCTTTTAATCATTAGCAATTTGATGAACAAAGTAATGTTGATTTGCATTGCTAGCTGATTTGGACTCTATTTTCCTGTTTTAGTGAGCCAAAGGCCTTCAGCCTTCCAGAAGGTATGGAAGATGCCACCTTTCATCCACGCTGGTCCAGGGCCATGCTAGGAGAGTCATATTTGGTACCATGCTCTAAGTCCAGGGAGAAGGCCAGAGGCTTCCTCAGATGCCTGGGTGCTTGCTCCACAGGAACCCTGAAAGCCTTTAGCCCAGAGTCTGGCACGTGGTAAACATTCAACAGCACTCTTGTCAATATGAGTGCTGATTTTTCTATCACTGTTTCTATTACTCCTGTGGGGAACCTGCCCTTCATTTCTTCAGAGCCCTTGCTTTGGCTGTGTTCTCCGTTAGGGATGCCTCATGCTCCTCCCCACTGTCCTCCACCTGGGGCCACCCTGTCCTGCCTTTCAGTGCCTGCTCAGATCCCCTCCTCCTCGCAGCCTCTGTGTTCTGAGTGATGACATCCTGTTGGATCTGCCTTACAACCACTGCAAAGGGCCCTAGGACTGCTGGCCGCTGTTGCCTTGGGTTGGCCAAATGGCATCCTTCCTACAATTTGATGTGCTGAGCAGGCCAGCCCTGTGTTCACAGCGGGTCTAAAGCCCCTCCTGGGCAGACCTCTGTGCTCATCCCTACGTACGTCCTTGGACCCCTCAGGGCACTCCAGCGGGTGTGTGGACCAGGCTGGCCCTGCCTCTGTGGCTGCCAGCTCAGCCTGGTGCACTTGTCTACAATTGATGCCTGGTCAGTTTGGCATGACTGTGCTGTGGCAACTTCTAACCGAAGCATCTGTAACATCATCTCTCCCAGGACTTTGGAATTACAGAAATAGAGTCATCACACGCCATTGCTACGGGAGAAGTACAATTTAGTGAACAAGAGAGGCAGGGCTGACTCACCCATTTATTTCAAGGATGACTGAAGCTCATCCTTCCAGAGGACACTGACCTCAGCTTTCATATGGAGATGGGACAGGATCTGCCTGAATGTCTGTGACACAGCTGCCTCCAGCGGGTCAGGGGCCCCTTCTGTCTCAGGAGGCGTGACGATGAGACATCTGTACTTCTGTGAGCCTCTCGGGGGCCGCAATCACCCACACATTGCCCAGAGGAATGAAGACTGGACCCACCTTGAGGAGCGAGCATGAGCCAAGCAGAGCAGGGGGGGTATATCCTTTCCATTTCTGGGCCTTGCCTTCCTGAGAGCCTACTTCTGTTTGGCACACAGCCAAATGTGAGTCCTCAGCCAGTGTGTGCTCCCTGTTCCTGCACTGTGCCCAGGCTGTCAGCACATTTATTAGAACAGTGGTTCTTACAGTGTGGTCCCTGGACCGCGGCAGTAGCAGCACTGGGGAATTAGTTGGAAATGCTAAGTCTTGTCCTGAATCAGAGTCAGAGTCAGGGTCCAGCAACCTGGTCCAGCCTTCCAGGTGAGTCTGATGCATATTCAAGTCTGCACGTTGCTTTTGATAAAAGAAGAAATTCAGATAGACCGTCCAAGAGATTAAGTATGTGTACGCTGCCTGATACGGTATCTGGCACACAGGAGAGGCTAAATAATGAATAAACAGGTCATTCCTCTGTTCACCCACCCTCTACACATACCACCAGGACTGCTGGGGGCGATTGGAGGGCTCTAGAGTGAGTGAGAAGGAAAAGTGGACCAGAGCTTAAAAGAGCATGATCGTCTCAGGGAGCAGAAGAGAGGAGGTGAATGGAAGTCACAGAAGCATCCGTTTATCAGTGAAGGATTTTACGTTTCCAGCTTTTGGCAAAAGGAAATAGCCTTCAGCTCTAACTTCAGTGTTTTGGTGCACAACTTAGAGCCAGTGCTGCCAAGCTGCTTCTCTGGTTCTTCCCCCCTCAAAAGCCTCTCCAGCCCTCCTTGGCACGTGCGGCTAGCAAACGCATCTTGCACAAGCTGATGCCTGCAGTGGCTTTATGCTGCCAGCTAAGTCCAGCTCGTGCATCCTGAGGGAGCCATCTCTTTTCCTCTGCAAACTCTCCCATCCCCTCCTCAGATTTCTGGAGGCCCCTCTATCATGGCCCCGTGTCCACCCTGGTCACAGAAGGAGCATTAGTTAAAGGCTCCCGCTGTGATATTTTACAAGTGACTTAGACATACAGAGGCACCTGCTGAGACGCCTCAGGCAAGACACCTGGTGGGCATCCAGACTCAAGTTTCCCCACTTGTGGAGTTAAAGGGTTGCATCAGAAGTTTTCCGGAAGTTTTTCCCAGCCTTAACGTTTCTAGCTCATAGTTGTACTGTTTATATTTGTCACATGAACTAAATAAAGCCTTACCCTATCAGAGGATGTGTGACTTCAGGAAACGGGCTCAGGGGCAGGCCACCACCCTGCTCCCTCCAGGCTGACCCAGAGGCAGTTGATGACCTCAGGGATCCAGGGACCCATGCATATCTGTGTGCTGGAACCTCTGGCTCTTGTGATAATGTGACATTGATATTTTGGTTTTAAGAGGAAAGAAAGTTGTTTCATACCCACATTTCTTTTAAAATCTTGCTTTACTGGAAGGCCATTCAGTGGCACTGGGACAGCCCTAATAAGCTAGTAGTAGGGGTCACTGGCCAGGAAGCTGGGAGGCAGGACCAGCCACCTGAGACTTGAACTAGGCAGCCTTGGGTGTCAAAGCTGATGTTACCTTTAGTCTTGGTAAGATGTTGGTGGTCATATTACTAAATGTCCTGAGCCTGTTTTTCTGAGGCACTAACTGGATAGTAAGTTGCAACGTTGCTCTGAGGCTCACGGAAAGGCCATGTCTAAATTGTAGGGTGCTCTGTAAACATGGGGGATGGGTCACTGATTACACTGGTTCCTTCTACCACACCCCAAAGTCATCACCACTGGGTACCATCTATCCTGGCACAAGCCCGAAGCCCCTGTCCATGGCTGGACACAGGGGTGATCCCCCCAGCCTGCTCCTTCCATCCCTTTCATCCAGAAATGAAGGCTCAGAGACGTTGTAGGCCTCAGTGGTGACTCAGAAGATCTCCCAGAAACTGAAACTGTCAGGAAGAGTAAGATAGAACTATTACAGGACACCCCATCTTTACCAAGAAATGGAAAGGGAGCAGTTAGATGAGAAAAAAAAAAAAAAAACCGAGGGAGAGAAGGGGAAATGAGGAATCTAATATTGAGAAGCAAGACATTTGGAACCTTATCAAGCCCTAATGTTTTGACTTATTTTGCTAGTAATTTATATCCTGTCATATTTCAAAAAGGATTAGACATGGCAAACCAAGCTATGACCAATTTGCAGACCAATTTGAGACATCTCAGCAATCCAGTGAATGAATCATTTAGCCCCAGGACAAGTCCTGCAGGAATACGGCAGTGTGCGCCTTAAGGACCACCCCCATCACCTCACCTGATCTCTGCCAAGAGGCAGGGCCATGCGCCCAGGGCAGCTGTTCACACACATGCCCTGCGGCCACTCGCAGCACCTCAGAGGAGATGCTGAGCAGATGCTGCTGGGCCCCAGCCAGGTGTGTCCAGCATTTTCCCCGTAAACAGCTTTGCTGCAAGTGGTTTTGCAGCACGACTAATTGGCCGTAAGGCCGTTTTGCAGTAAAAAAATAAAATAACTGCTTGACAGTTATATTACACTAGAAAAGACAACAAACACATCAGTTTTTGCAAATCCTCGGTGGAGCTAATCTAAGTCAGATTTTGTTAAAATTTTCATCATTTTCAAGAGACGTATACTTAACCAGGAATCACATAACCATCTCCTTTTTGGGGGAATAAGAGGAGCTTTATTCTTTCTTTGCCTCCAACTTCTGACACCACATGATAAATCTGGTAAAGATGGCATGAGAGAACAAGCCATTGTATCTAAATGAGCTAAAGAATCCACTAAATGCTGAGAGGGCGTGGAGAAAAGGGAGCCCTCTTACACTGCTGGTGGGAATGTAGTTTGGCGCAGCCATTATGGAAAACAGTATGGAGATTCCTCAAAAAACTGGAAATAGACTTACCACATGACCCAGCAATCCCACTCTTGGGCATATATCCAGAGGGATCTCTGTTTCGAAAAGACACATATACCTCAATGTTCATAGAGGCACTATTTACAACAGCCAAGATGTGGAAGCAACCTGAATGTCCATTGACAGATGAATGGTTAAAGAACTGGTGGTATACTTATACAATGGAATACTACTCAGCCATAAAAAAGAATGAAATAATGCCACTTGCAGCAATATGGATGGACCTAGAGATTATTGTACTAAGTGAAGTAAGTCAGACCAAAGACAAATATCATATCACTTATATGTAGAATCTAAAAAAAATGAGACTAATGAACTTATTTACAAAACAGAAGCAGACTCACAGACATAGAAAACAAACCTATGATTACCAAAGGGGAAAGGCAGGGAGAGATAAATTAGGAGTTTGGGATTAGCAGATATAAGTTACTGTATATAAAATAGATAGAAAACAAAACAAGGTCCTACTGTATAGTGCAGGAAACTATTCAATAGCTTGGAATAACCTATAATGGAAAAGAATATGAAAAGGAATATACACATGTGTAACTGAATCACTATGCTGTACACCAGAAACTAACACAACGTTGTAAATCAATTATCCTTCAATTTAAAAGCATTCATCATTAATGCTCTTGAAGACTGTCATGAATTAGTAGCTGCCTCTTACATTTTTGATAGCTTGGTAAACTTTTGGTTTTGATGGGTAGGAGGGATGACTGCTCATGGAAGAATCTGGAAAAGCTGACCTGCGATCACTTTCTAGTGTGATGTAATTTTCAACCAGTTATTTGATCTTTTATGGCAAAGTGGCTTCATGGTCAATTAGTTGTGCAGCAAAAATGCTTGTGAAGGAACTTCTTGCAGCGAAGATGTTTGTGGGGAAAATGCCTGCACCCCTATCCAGGCACCCTCAGCCCTCACCTGCCTGTCCTCGGTACTGTCATCAGTGTCACTCTCCTTACCTCCAGTAGCTGTTGATTGTGGCCTTCTTCAGATGCTGCTGGGCTTCCTAAACCACAGTGGCTGCCTGTGCAGAGGGCCGGAGAGCTGGCAAGTTTCCATCTCTCCACCAGGGGCAGCCTAGGGAGGGGGTCTGACTATCCAGCTCCCTTGCCTCAAAGCTAGACTAACCCGGAGGTACAGCTGAAGCTCCAGAACTCCCCACAGGGTCCAGGCAAGGCTGGGATGCTGAGCTTCTTGCCCTCTCATCTTGCTCTACCCCCTCCCCACCTGTGTCTCCTGGGAGCACTTCCTCCCACAGCCCTTGCATGGGAACCCTGGCCTCAGGAGTCCTTGAAGCCCTGGGCTTCTTTCCTCCTTCGAAGTCCCCTCTTGGAGAACTGCTCCTGGCTTTTCAGCCTCCTCCAGGTACGACTGGGGACCATGCCATCCTCAGAGTTCCCAGCCAAGGACTGTTACATACCTGCCCCAAATTGGACCCAGCTTCTTCAGAAATGCCAGTCAACCAGCTTTGGGCGCTACAGCTGTAAGGTGATGTCAGCTCAGGGGTAGGGAACCATTGTGGGGAGGCTGTTTTGAGATGGAGATGCTGACAAGGAAGCAGGGAGAAGCAGACATTCCAGTCCCTCAGGAACCCCTGAATCTCAGGAGAGACCCCTCACTTCCATTGGATCTCCTGCTTGAAGTGGCTTGAGTAAAAGGTCCCTGACCAGGCTACCACAGATGTTCCTTTAAATGCCTCAGTCACCCCCCCATCAATGGATGTCCTCTGAGGCTAAAGCTACTGTCCTGCCTGGACGAGCTCAGAGTGGGGACGTGTGTTGCAGTGAGTGGGCGGACCCTGGCCGGCCGAGGAGTAGATGATGTCTGGAGCTTAGGATGTCGGCTCCTAAAGTGGCTGTGTCCCCGCAGCCACCCAGGTATCATACTGACACACAGGGGTCCATCCGTATTTTGGAATGGGTGACAGTCAGTTTTTCAAGATAGCACTGTCCCTTTAATTTATTAGCTTTCCATAAAAACACGTAACACACACCATCTACAGTAGAGAAAGTATAATTTACAAAAATATAAAATCTTGGTTATGTTTTAGTATTCCAACATAGCACTGTAGGTGTTATTTCCATAAGCATGTTTAAACAACGCACACTTAACCAGCGATGATCACCTCTGTGGGGAACGATGTCAATTCCCTCCTTTCTGTTTTAAAATAAAATACATATCGAGGAAAAGAAACCGAAATTGGTTATATGTGTATACGGTATGTAGACAAGCTTTTGCAATGGATTTGGAAAGAAAACAGCCATTGATATCATCATTTAGGCCCTGTTTTCCAGCATCACTATGTGGTCCCAAGTGTTTTCAAACTGATTATTTAAACAGAGTTTCTTTCTATGTGAAGGGAGTGAAGCTCTCAGGTTTGAAGCCTTCTATCCAGGTTATGAGATGATGGTTACAAAACCCAACATTGTGGACATGTCCAGTTTTCAGGCCTTGAGGGCAGAGGGGACAGGTGGTGGGTGACCATCAGGCCAGGGCTAATTCAGATCCCTTCAGAGGATTCAGACCGACATTTAGGGGGCTGAGTCACTAGCAATGAAAGACCCCAGAATGATGCCTCAGGGGACAGATCTTTCTGGGACCCAGCATGGCTCCCTGGGAGCTCTGCCCTGCCTTTGTGGCTGCATTCTGAGTCAAGCGCTCGCTCCAGAAGGTTCTGAGAATGCTGTCCTGCTGGGCACGGGGCGGGACAGGTTTCTCCCACTCCAGAGTGGCCGGTCTTACCGGCAAGCACAGGTCTCCACAGACATGTTGGGGTACACCTTCAGAACGACGTTCCGGTTCTCATCCAGGAAGAGGACCCCGAGAGAGTTCATCTTGTCGGGAACGCAGCAAGGCTCTGGGATGCCCGGGACGATGCCCACGGCCCTGACGATGCTCTGGATGGTGGCGTGGTTGGACGGGCGGACGATCTGCAAGGCGGAAAGAGGCATGGTTACTTCTGTGCTCAGCCCACCTGGCAGTTCTCACCCGCCCACCGTACCACCCGCACGTCCTTGACTGAGGTCACAGGAAAGGCATTGGCCTAGAAGAAAAGGTGAGGTCCCAGGGCAGGGTACACATCTCCTGTGAAGTCCGTTTGCAAAAGGCCTTCCTGGCCCTCAAGCCGAGGAAGTCACATCCCCTACATGGCACTGGCCACCTGGGGGCACCTGTGCGTCACACATCCCCAAGGAGCACCTTGAACTGGAAGGGAGCTCCAGAGGGATGGTCCAGGGAGATGCCCAGCTGGTTCCACCCAGGGCCACAGCTGCCCAGATGTCAGCCTGAGGCACACCAACACGCTTGCCACGTGAGCATGTTCTCAGCACTGGAGGGGAAGGCCTGCAGGCACACATGTACATCGGCTTGTAGGGCTGGAAACTCATTCCTGGGCGGGTCTGACTTCAGGGTGTCACCTGCATCATCCCGCCGTGTCATCGCATCAGTCTTACAGTGTGGGTAGGACCTTAATTTTACTGGTAAGGAAACTGAGGCTTAACGTGACTAAATAACTTGACCAAGAGCCCTCAGTTAGAAAGCAGTCTGGCTTGGAAACCATGCTCACTGGGCCCACACCGACTCTCCCCACCTCCTGCCCCTGGCAGCCTCTCACATCCAGAAGGGTCTGGGTCCCAGCCCTAATTACAGAGAAGGCTGTTCCTTAAGCACCTCCCACAAGATGACCAGGACCACATCACAGGTGCTTCAGCTCGTAGTCGGCCAAAGACAGTCTTATATATATAGTGCATCGATGAGGGAGGCGGCTGGTGGGCAGGAGGGGAGGAGAGGGACACCGGCGTTTTGGGAGATCAGGCTAGTGTCAGGGAAGGCGGGAAGACAGCAAGGCAGACTGATAAGTTAAGTGCAGGGTCAGCCAGCCAGTACTCACCCTGCATCTGCCCCAGGTCTGTGCAGGGCCCTCCGGCAGACGCCTGTCTCTGTCAGGCTCCTCCCTTCCTCTCTCCCACACATGCACGGCTTGGAGAAGAAGCCTCTTAATTCCCTCACCAAGTTAATGTGGCCCCATCTCTGGGTCTGGGACTTCCCAGATGGCTGATTCATTCATGGTTCGCACTGGATTTATGCACTGACTTCCTTTCTTGGAGGGAAAGGCATGACCTGGGACTCAGCGGAGGAGCTAAGTAGGAGGAAAGTGTGTGTTCCCTGTGGAGGTCGACATCAGCTGGCTGCCGGCCTACCGGTGTTCAGGCTGTGGGGTGATGGATGGACAGAGCCATAGCCCAGCCTGGAGGGAAGGTGAGCATCTGAAAAACGAGGCCAGTGCAATGGATAAAACAGCCCCATGTGGTCGCAATGGGAGCTAGTTGCCCCGTGAATCCCCGGCCTGAGTGGAAGGGAGAGGGTAGGGGGGGAGTCACCCTGGGAAGCCATTGAGGCCAGCTCTGTGCTGGTCACAGACACCAACGCCCCGAGGTCTAGCCCAGGAACAGAAATGAGAGCCCTTGCGAGGAGGGGGCTTCAGAGGTCTGACCTGCGTGCAGCGGGGCAGTGTCTACTCCACCTGTGTAGATTTTGCTATGTAGGAACACATCCCTAAGGAGATGGATTCTCCTGCTTTGCAAAAGGAGAACTGTTCTGATTTAAAATTCAAATTCCACGAAGGCAACACTTGCAAAAGCACAGCCAGGCTGCATCCATCTGTGGGCTGCATCCACCCCGCCGGCTGCTGCGCTGGCACCTCTATGTACTATATGTGCCTTGAATAGATGGGAGGTGTTATTATCCCTATTTAGAGGCAGAAAACAGTCATAAGGCAGAGGGGCTTGCCAGGCGGGGCAGAGCTGAGCGTCACAATTAGCCAAGGGGCAGAATACACCTACACCCTACCTTGGGCATGGGGAACTCGCAGGTCCCCGAGCAGTAGTAGGCGTCGAAGGACTTGGGCGAGATGATCCATTCGTTCCACCCGATGTCCGCGAAGTCCACCTTCAGGTACCTCCGGGAGCAGACCCGCGGCTCGTCCCACTGCTTCCTCCGGGCTTTCTGCATTGTCTTCTCGTCGAAGTCCAGCACCTGCGAGGAGGCCATGAGCACATCCTGGCCCTTCCTCCGGCGGTCCTTGCGCCCGGGCCGCGGCTTCAGCGCCCGGAAGGGGCTGGGCCACAGCTGGTGCTTGTGGTGGTGCTGGGCGTGGGGCGCGTGTGCCGGCCGCTCGTCCAGCCCTGGCAGCTCATTGTCCTGGAGGGGCCCAGTGGCCTGTGTGGCCCGGCGCACTCGGGGGTCTGTAGAGTTGTTGGGGGCTGCGCCAGGCTCTGGGTCCCCAGCCTGGAAGGGGTCGTATCTCTGCAGTGTCACTGCCACGCTGTTGGGCTCTGAGATGGCCAGGTCGTTGGCGTAGATGAGGATGTAGGGTGCGTGGGGGCTGGGCCGGGAGGCCCCAGGGGCCTTCTCTCCAGAATCCAGCTGGGCCGACAGGAGCAGCTCGCCATCACGGCGGGCCGCCTTGACGATGGGGGATATGTCCTTGGCCTGCCACAGGCCCCGTGGTGGGGGTGGCAGGGCCATGGCCCCGCGGAGCAGCCCCTGCGTGGCGGTGTTCTGTGAGAGGCTGCGGAAGAGCAGGTGCTGGCGTGCCGGGGGGCCTGGGGGCAGCAGGAGGCAGGATGCGTTCTTGGCCCGCTGTTTACATGGTGCCTCACGCGCCCGGGGCCAGCGCGGCTCCGAGTAGAAGTGGAATGTGGCCATGAGGATCATTTCCGAGTCCTGCATCGAAGTCAGGTTGAAGAAATACACGGCCTTCTGGTTGACCACTTCTGCGAGGGGAGGACAGACCACAGCCCGTTAGGTTGTCTCCTTGGAGAGGCCCCGTGCTCTTAGGGTCTCCGGCCCAGGGCCAGGGTGGAGGAGGAACTCGCCAATCCGGGGAGCGCTGCCAGCCTAGCCAGGCTTTCCTCATCTCATGTAATTCTCACAGTAAACTGATGAGGGCACCCTTTGCTATTTTCAGTGAAAGGATGGAGATGAGGGATGGAGGTCAGAAGGCTGGGGACTGTCAATATCCCATTGCAAAAAAAGGAAGAAAAAAAGGTAGCAGGCAGGGTAGATGTTCACGCCTGCTGGACCCTGCAGTTCCTGTTCCTACCTCTGCGCTCCAACACTTCTCAGTGAGCAAATGAACAAACGATCCCCTACACCTTCATTCATGAGATAAGGATGGTCTGGGATGGGTCCAGGCCCTGCTGACTGCAGCCCCCCCACCCTGTATTTGCATAGCCCTCTATTTTATAGACTTTAAATGCAACCCATTTTCCAAATGAGTTAAAATAAGTAGAGTGCCCCATACTTTTCCTGCATCTTGAGTGTCTCCTGAGGGAAACTGGGCTTAAGAGCACAGCCACTGGGGCGCCTACTGTTTATTCTGCCCAAGGCCTTTTACACTTGTTTTACAAAGAAAGAGTAATATCAGGATTGCCCCAGGTCACTCAACAAAATCGCCAACATCCAGGTTGCTCTCCAGGGGCCCAAACCATGAAAAGGACCAGGAGCCCTCAAACATCATACCTGCCGCTCAAGAACCCTTCAGGCCCCGCGTCCCTGGGGCTGTCAACCAGCCCGCCCTTGTCTCTCGGGTCCACCAGGTGTACCGCAGAGCCCCAGGGCAGAACACCCTTGTCTGCAGCCTCAAGAAGCGGCCCCGAGCCCTGGCAGCATGAGTTCTGTAAATAGCAAGCCCTCTCTAAGGTTTGGATGGACGGAGGCATCATTCCCGTGGTCGCCCCGTGATGCTGCAGATGAACAGGAGACCAGAGCTGCTATGTCAGCTGCCTCCCTCCCGCTGCTCTATTTCCTGCTGCCAGGTGTCTGCCTGCTGGGTGAGGCCGGGAGAGGTACAGGGCTCCCAAGAGTGGGGGTGTGTGTGCGTGTATGCATGCATGTGTGTGTGGACAATGGGCTTTCCAAAGGGCATGTGTGAAGGCCACAGCTTCTCTGACACCTGCACCCACAGGATCAGCTGGTATTTTTTTTTAAACCAAAATCTTTAGTTTAAGGTTATTTGTTTCTATTGAGAAGAAGGCATAATTCAATTGGGAACATCCATGTATTTTTAAGGCTCTATGAGAGAGGAAGGAAAGAAAAATCGGAGGGTCTGATAAATGCCAGTCAAGACTTGGGTGACACTCAAAGATCCTACCTTACTGAATTCTCAGAACAAATCCGCGGAGAGGCGCAGCGGCCCCTCAACATGTCCACAAGTAAGAAGTAGTTCATGGTCTTGATGCACATTTAAAGTTGGCTTCCCCAAACCCTGCGGCCCTGAGTGTCATGGTCTCCGGTTCTGCATTTCCCAAACCTCCCTGATCACTGTCTCCCTCCCCTAGAGATACTGATTCAGAGGGTCTGGGACAGTAGGGCCCAGATATTCGTATTTTAATGAGCATCTTAGGGATTCTAAACATCAGGGAAGTTTAAGAAGCAATGGTGGGCAATGGCTGTGTATCCACAGCATCTGGGGTTGGCAGGTGGTGGGTGGGGATGCAAGTTCACTAACGAGGCAACCTCCACCCTCCAAGCTAGGAAAGACCCTAGGAACCGTGCTCCCAGGCCCGGATGGGACTGTGATTGGCTCATCTGCCTCAGACGGACAACAGAATCTCTGTCTCACGTGAATGCTTGGAGGATTAAATAAATAACATGTGATGTGCCAGGCCCAAAGGAAGATTCCCCAAATGTGGTTCCCTGTCGCTTTCATCTAAAGGACCAAGGCTGCCAGAGCAAATTCCTCCTATACCAGTTTAGGTCCCTGTCACACAATGGCCCAGATAGCATAGCGGAAAAAAGTGTTTTTCTTTTATCCAACTCAAGTCTTAACTCCATTGTTCTGCTAACAGGTTCTTTGCTGGAGAACACTTAAGAAGTTCTAGGAGAGACATTTCTGACTCCTTCCGAAAAGCTGGCCTTTCACAGCAAGATGCTGGCCTGAACCTACGGCTGTTGGTGAGAACGAAAAATGGCAAACTTGGGGGAACAGAGATGGGGCTGCCCAGAGGAAAGCACCTGGCTCTCCCACCCCTTCCAGTGATGAGGTGAGGGATGAGAGAGGGTACAAAGAAGGACAACTGTGACCACCAGGGTGGGGACAACAACCTCAGCTTGAGGTGGTTGTGGCCCAAGGAAGACGCTGGGAAGACCACCTCCTGGGGTGCTGAGGAGCACGGGGCGGGGGCCTTTTCTGGAGGTCATTTCTGCCTGAGGTGGAGGAAGGGGACGGCCAATGCTGCCCCTCCCTCGGGATGGAGAACCGAGGAGAGCACGCTCAGGGACTCACACCGGGAGGTTTGGCAGCCTTACGGGTCAGGCAGCCTGATCAAGGCTTGGGAAACCCCTACTTGGGCCAAATGCCGGGCTGATTCCTTCCTCTATCTATTGTAGTTCCTTTAAAGTACATCAAAGTTCCCAACTGAATGTGCTCCTGGCAAAGGTGGTCAGAGGTACTCAGAGGAGCTCAGCCCAGGGATGAGACAGTGGTAACTGTGGGGATGTCCATCTACAGCACCTGTCACAGCTTCAAGAACACAGTCCAGGTGAGGCCCCGGCAGGTGCCTTCAACCTCAGGTCACCATCCACTCAGAGCCCTCCATTGCCTCCCAAATAAAACTCAAAACCTTACCAAGGTGCTGTTTGCTCTGGCCTGCCGACCTCCCCAGCTCCATCTGCTCCCAGCACCCCGATCTCTGCTCTGTCACCCTGGCCTTCCTGTCCTTCCAACACGAAGCTCCCGTCTCAGGGCTTTGTCCCAGCTGTTTCTTCTGCCATCACCCCTCCTCCTCCAGGAATCACTCCCCTCTTCTTCAGATCTTTGCTTGAGAAGCATCCTCAACAAAGGGTCGCATTGGCTCCCTTGGCTGGAGGAGCAGCCCCCTCGCTCTGTCTGTCCCCTGCTTCACTTGTCTTCACCTCACCTTTGGACACCCTGATATATATTTTGTTGCTGTTGTTTCTCTTTCCTCTTAGAATGCTAACTCCAAGAGAGTGGGGCTTCGCCAGCTGTGCGCACTGCTGCATCCCTACATCCTGGCACTTCGTGATGTCACTGCTCAGAAATACATGCTGAATGGCAGGGGAGGGTGGAGTCTTTGCTAGATCTGTCCGTTTCACTTAACAAAGGGGCTTCCTGGCTTGCTGCCCTGGGGCTCAGCGAACATCCTGAAAGAGGTTCAGAAGGCCTCCTTCTTTGGAAAGACACAGCCGATTATGCAAATCCAACTGGAGGCACTGGGCAGTGGAATCTCTGTCCAGTTGTTTCCCCCTTGAGCCTTAGTTTTCTCATCTTTAAAATGGGAATAATGTGGCTTATTAATTATGAAGCTCAAAGCATATAGTCACACTTGATTCCTCACTTTCACAATGAGGGGAGCCGAGATGGTGAGTGGACAAAAAGATGGTGCTTCAGAGAGGAGACGGAACTACATCAATTGCCTGGAGTCCCCCAGCCAGTAAGGGGCAGAGCCGGGATGTGCACCCAGGCCTGCGTGAGTCCAAGCCCAGGCCCTTCCCCACCCTCCCATACCACATGCTCTGGATCTGCCTAACAGCTAATGTAACAAAGATCAGGTGCTGTGAGCTCTAAAATAGTTTAAAAACACAAGTTATTATTTGGGCGATTTTGAGTTCTGACTCTTCAAGAAAGAAAAGATCGACCTTATTTAGACAAGCTGATCTCTTTATGGATCTTCGGAAATCTCAGAGCCCATCATTTCCACTCTACTGGGGACTCAACCTCCTTCACAACTCGTCAGGGATGGGGCTGGAGAGGAAAGAGGCAGGGAAGGGGCCCTAGCCTGCGGGTCCTCCCAGGCTTCCTGCTGGCCAACCCTCAGGCCAGGAGGACCCTCAAGACTGTTCCAAGCAGAATCCAAGCCACCTGGAGATCTGTCCCTTCACCCACTGCCTCTGAAACAGCCATCAGGGTGACGGGAGTGAGAACACCGGAAGGAAGTGGGATGAAGGAAGAAAGCAGTGCGCCGGCCAGTGGTGCAGCAGAGAAAGGAAGAGGGTCTATTTTTAGGTAAGCTCCAGAGTCAGGGTTTAAACCCTGCTTCACCACTTACTAGCGGTGGGACCTAAGACAAATCACAGAACCTCTCTGTGCTTCAGTTTCCTCATCTGTAAACCAGGCAGAATCTGTATATGAGCCTCCTGAATTTGGAAGATCCTCTCCGCAGAGCTCTCAGCAAGGTGAGTGGTACCCTGCACGTGCTCAGAACATACTGGTCATGTGATGTCACAAGCTACTGCTATGCTCAGGGCACCTCACCCCTGTTCCCTGTCCTCATGCTCGATCAGAGGCACTGCCATGCATCCACCCTCTCCAGCAGGAGCCTGAGAATTGTCATGGCCATGACCCCCTCCTGCATCCAACCAATCCCAGGTCCTACTGGCGCCGCATCCGGTTTCTCCACTGCCATCTGGAGCTCCCCATCCTTCCACGACTGTCTTCGTCCACAGCCTGACTCAGCCGCCATGGGACCCCAGGACACTGTCACCCTCACGTCACACTCATGCTTCACAAGGAAATCATCTGTTACAGATGAAGAGTTCATATCCTTCAAAACCTCTACACATCAGTAAGAAAAAGACCAGAACCTCAGTTAGATGAAGTGATTTCCACAGGAAAAACTGCAAATGGCCAAAAGGCATGAAAAACCAATTCAAGATGACTAGTAATGAAAAATAAAAACAAAAATAGAAACTTCAATTGAGAATGAGGCTATAACAAGTTTTACCTGCATGTTGAAAATATGGTCCCATTAGGGTAAAAAAACCAAAATATAATATGTATACGTATTCCACCAAAATATTAACTCTGGTTATATCTGGGTTGCAATTGAGTTTGATTTCTTTTCTTTACTCTGATTTTCTATTATTTCTGGATAAGTATGCATTTCTTTTATAATCTCTCTCCTCTCCTCCCCTCTCTTCCTTTTTTCTCTTTCCTTCCTCCCTCTCTCTCCCTCTCTCCCTGTCCCACTGGATACACACTTTATACAGCCTCACTGCCTACAGGCAAACTCATAACATTCAAGGCTTTTGGTGGCCTTGGCGGCCCGCTGGTCTGCTTCTGTTTCCCACCTCTCTCTTCCTGTTACTTCCTCACTGAAGCCACCTCTGCACAGTTCCTGGCACACAGGGCTCTGTTTCACCTCTGGCTAACACCACTTGCCCTTCTGAATCTCTCTGAGCTCCCCGTGCTCTGTGAAGGCTTCACTGGCCCCTCCCCACCAGCCCTTCCCCTGCTGGATCAGTGCCCGCCCCCAGCCCTTTCTCTCTCCCTTGTACCACCTGCTCCACTGCTCACATTCTCCTGTTTAGTTCTCCCTTCTCCACCAGTTCGTGAGTTTTTCTGGGCAGGGCCAGTAGGCCAGGTTTCTTTGTGTCCTCCGAGCTTACAGCACCTGCCACCGAATGAGGCGCTTAGGAAAGACTCGGGAAACTGAATGTGACTTTCGGCAATGTCGACAAATGGGCATTATTATTACTCCTATTTTAGAAACGGAGAAATCAAGCTCAGAGAGGTTAAGAAACTTGCCCTATATCACACAGGTAGGTGTAAAAGCCTAGGTTTAAGTGCAAATCGTTTGGGGCTGAGAGTGATGTAGACTTAATAGGGAACAGGACACCCTTCGGAGAGGGAAGGAGTTGGGTGGCTGGAGTAATAACAGCAGAGCTAATAAATTACTGAACTTACATGTGCTAGGCACTGTGTTAAGCACTGTGCTTATCTCAGTTCAATTAAAAAATGCTACAAAGAAAAGCCCCATTTTAGAACTGAAAAAAAAAAAGTCATGGCCAAGTTCAGTCACTGGCCAAGACCACAGACTAAGGATTGGGACCTCACCAGTCCAGCTCACAGCCTGCACTCAGAACCTCAGCTATGCTGCCTGGTGGCAGGCAAGGGACATGGTTCCACTGCAACAAGAGCTGCAGGGACCACCCAACTGAGGCAGCTGAGGCTACTGTCATGGAGCAGGCTGGGACCGGTATGATTCAGAACCAGAGCCGAAGCCCCCAGCATCTGTGCCTCATCCATAAGATGAGGGGGTCTCTGCCCAGGCTCATGTTTCCTTACCGTTGGGTCTCTGGGTCACGAAGCGGGAACCTCTGAGGGCTAGCAAGGAGCTGGGCATGAAGCAAGGGAAGGGATGAGAAACCCAGCTGGCTGGGCTCACTCTCTGCCCGGAACAAAATCCATCTCATCCCACTATGTGCACAAGAAATCGATGCTCAGAGAGGTAAAATGATGTGTACCACAGCACTCAGCCAGTAGCTGATGGAGCTGGGACTTGCACCCATGGTTGTCAGGTGGTTCCAAACAAGAGTGTTGGATTTGTCAGACAGTCCCAGACTGCTCCAGAATAATTCTGATCTTCCAGAATTGTCTGTTCCACCCTCTGTCTCCTAAGTCCTGGGCTCAGTTCTGATGAAGGTGGGCGGAGGGGACTAACAGCGAGGGGAACACGAACCTGGCAGATGGAAAGTGCCACTGTGAACAGCTCCCCCTCCCGGGCCTCAGTTTCCTTATCTGTAAAATGGGAGGGCTGGATTTAAAGTACCATTTCCAGGTCCTTTTCAGGGATAACTGTTGCTTCACTGTTCCTTATACTACCCTAGCCTGGGAGAATAAAAAAACAGACTGTGGGCAAAAGCAGCTGGTGGGCTCAACAGGCACGCTCACCTCTTGTTGCAGCAGTGACCTTGTCAGCCTTGCTTTCCTCAACTGCAAAGCTTTGGGGACCGAGTTAATGGATGCCAGGTCAAGTCTACACCTGTATGAACACAAATGCTTTGTATTCCAGGGAAACACCTAACCCTGTCAGTGCTGGGCTCAGGGCTTACCCATATCACCTCATGTCATCTACCCAACAGGGAAGATACAGCTATGGTCTGCCCATTTTGTAGATGAGTACGCTCAAGTCCACAGAGCTTCAGTGATTGCCCAAGGTCACGGTCATGCTAAATGATTCTTGAGTAGCTTAATATTGATGTTCCAGAAATGGGCCCCAAGAGGTGAATAAGAGGTACCAGGAAGGACGGAGTTAGATTTGGTTGGCCCGGAGCCCAGGAACACTGACCTAGTGAGTCTGGCCATCCTAGTGCTCCCCGGGACATGTTTATGTGAGACCAAGCTTCCCATGTCTGGCTCTGAGGCCACTGATGTTACCTTGAGTCACACAGCCAGTGATCAACAGGTAGGTGGCAGATCTGACCCGAGGCTGTCTGGCCCCAGTGTTGGGCTGGTTCCCCTCCACCCTACAGATCAATGGTCTCGCCCCTGATGAATGGCCTCCTCCTTTACAAGGGCTGCAGGGGACCCCTCCCCATATTTTCTGCCATGGCATTCTGGGATGATGAGTAATCTCCATGACAACCAGGGTCTTCCCACCGCCCCTGCCACCAGGATGCACATCCTCTCTGCTCACCCAGGGCCGGCAGAGGTAGCCCAGGCTGGACAGGCAGATGGCAGAGGCTGGATTCTGAAGTGCTCTCAAAGGCAGGGCAGGGAGGACTCTGCAAGTGGTCTCTGTCCAGCTCCATCCAAGGAGTGGGGAGAGGGGGAAGGATCTGCCCAGGTGGGACAAGGGCAGGAGAGTGGTTGGGATCCCCCACTGCCCAAGCTTCTAGACCTTTCCTGAGGCCGTCATAGTCTCAACACTTTATGCTAGTGCTCAGCAGGCCTAAGTCCCTATGCACCCAAGGCTGGGGACCCAGGGCCCTTCTCAGTCCACTCTGCTCCCCCAACCACCACACCCACCTACTGCCCCCAGCTAGAGGGGTACACCGTCTGTCCAGGCCCAGTGACTGGTACGTCTATCAGGGCTGCCTTATACCCACCTGACGGGCTCTCCTACCTCCTCTGTGGAGAGCTAACACAGCTTACCCCTAGGACATGGATACCCCCATGCTATGAACTTCCCCAGCCCAGTCCCTACTCTACCCTGTGCTTAAAGCCCTGTGTATGGGGTGATCTGTATCCAGCAAGTGTGACACCCTCCCAGGCTCGGCAACGCCCCAGAGAGAGGAACTCTGTCACTCTGTGCCACTTTGGTGTCCCCATCAGAGGCTCAGGGCCTGGGATGGAGTGCTGGAGGAACAGTTAAATGAAAGAATGAATGAACCAGTCAAAGACTAGAAGGAAGAGGAAAACGGAGGTGAAGGGGTGGGAGCATAGACAAGTGAGGACCAGGGAGGATGAAGAGAAGGGGCCCTGGGGCCCCCTCGACTTACCCAGCCGGGCCCTGAAGCTGCGGACCGTGTTTCCCCCTCCCGGCCGCGCGCCCCTTCGGCTGTATTTCTCATAAAGCCGGAGCATGTGGACAGCGACCATGTCCTGGGCGCCGGGGCCCAGAGCGGCGGCCACGTCCCCCGGGGACCGCTGCGGGTCCTTGTCCCCCATCAGACCGTCGGCGGCCGCTGGCGGGGCGGACCTGGCGGGGGCCGTGTGGCTG